ATATTTTAAATAGTTTTTTTTTATTTTTTTTTTATTTTTTTGCTTCCGACGACGCAAAGAGATAAACTTTCCGAAACGATAAGCATTTTCTTGTCCGTTAGGCAAATTTGTTTATTTGTAAGCCACTGCTGACAATTAGTCTCCATTGGATTAACGCAGCAGTGTTTACAAAAAATAACCATTTTATTTTGTAGGTTTTCTTGCAATACGAAATATCCTATATGGCGAAATACCCATATAGGATTCTTTTGGAGAGATGAATCCGCCACATAGGTATAGACATTTTTTTTATTAATTTAGTTGTAATAAAATGATTGTATAATACAGAAATAAAATATTCATGCGGTCTAAACTGAAGTTGTCATGAAGTCATGATTAATTTTATAAATTAATATTTCCTGGAACGAGTTTTGGTTTTACTAAACATTCATATGGCAATAATTTTGGACATATGTGTACGTGGCAGACAAATCGGTGACCATCTCTTAAACGTCCCAAAATTGAAACCGAAACCGACCACCGCCGACCATAAATCATAGCTGCTGCACCGCGCGCTCTTTCTCTCTCCCAAACCCGCACCATATTATAAAGTAATTAAGTTTTTCGAGTATAAAATAATATTCTCTGGTAATTGTCTTTTAGTTCGTTAATTTAAAAGCTAAACGTGCAATCTCGGTGGTTTTTTCTGGTCGGGCCGGCTGTCGGGCCTCATATATCATCTCGGTCGGCGGGATCCAGCAGGCGGCAGCGACACTCGCCGCTGCTCCTTGTTGTCTCAATACCGTTAAAATGTCAATAGCATCTACTGGAATAAGCGTCGTGACTGCCTGGAGAAACGAGTACTCCTTACGTAGAAGCTTGGTAAAAATAATTTTATTATCTTTATTTCCATAAAGTTATATTATTTCTATATTAGAAATAAATCTGTTTAGATAGAGGAGGGTAGCCTAAAACCGAGGGTTGTCTCATTTGGGTAAAAAATGTACATGTACTACCAAAATATAATTTTACTCTCAATTACTGCGAAGAAGACTGCCAATAGTTTAAGAACTAGCAAAGTTCTCGAGAAAGTATTTTTAGAAAGCTGGCTTTTTAATATATCTTTTTCTATGTTCTCTAGAACAGTGTGCGATAGACGTTGCGTTTACTACTGCGCAACATCTTTCAATGCGCAATAGTGAACCCAACGTCTATCGGCAGCCAGACGGCCTGCCCGCTGTTCCAGAGAGCATAATAAAATATATATATACGCTAGCTCTCGTACTACAATGTCTGCCATATAATTATAGTAGACTGCCGTAAGTCTGATGCCAAAGACTGCCAGCGACTGCCAAGAAAACGTACATGTAATTCTAACAGTGACCCACTGCCTTAAACGTACGACTTTGCACGAATGTTGAAAGAAATAACCAAATCGGACTAGGCATTATGATTCAAATATTTAGATCGATCTCCTCCGCCACTTATATATTTTTTTCAGGTTTTTGTTAGCATTATTTAACAGAAATGTAAATTTTTCAAAAGCGTTGTTTCATTTGCAAAAGTTTTATTCAAGGATCTAAGAAACCGGTTGCCGAAATCGTACCATTAGTCTTCCATTATAATACCTACCATCTGAAATAGATCAAATAATCGAAAATATTATTATTATCCGCTTTGACGACCACCAAAATCAGTTCAGTTTGCAGGTCATCTTGTACTTCAAATCAGCATCTTGTGCATTGTGAACATTCTTGTCCACAAACCAAATGCTACTTCTCCAAAATCCATTTGTTGAATTTGCTATATTTAGAACCTGCTACTTTCCTAAAACGTAATAGTACAAATTGAGCAACCATACAAAGGTTCTGTTTAGGTGACATTGTTGAAAATAACAAAATAAAATATTTAGCAGTTTTTTTTTGAAGTAAGGTGCTATTTAACCATGTGGAATGTAACGAAATATTCTCCAGTTTGAGAAAAAAATATACATCATCAATTACATTCCCTAAAGCCATACAAAATCATTTACCATAAATCAATAGAAATGTGAGAGCAGAAATACAAAGAATCTTTAATATGCAATTTTTTTTACAAGCAATCGTGCTATACTTAAAATATCTTTGGTGTTACTGAATTTCTTATTTTACTTTAATACGTTTTTTTTAGGTTTACTAAATACCGAAATATACCACAAGGTGTCCCGCCATTGCAATTGCACTATTCTATATAAGGGCGTCTTTCTTATATAATTGAGAGAGAGAAAGGTCAAGGAGAAAAACTTAATAAGCGCTAATTTCTTAATTTTAGGATTTTACAATATTATAGTAGGTCTAACTGGTCCCTACAGATTGTATAAACTTAGCAAGACAATAAGTTGCCTAGTAAAATTATAGAATACACGACAAGAACCTGATAAATACCAGCAGTCCAGTGCTCTCCTGTAAAATCAGTGAATTGGCGCTTATCATGTTTTTCTCCTGAACCCTTCAATTATAAACCAGATATCATCAAAATGTGAGGAATGTACTTACAGAAACATTTTATTGAAAAATAGAGTGATAATGTTGGACAAGAAAGACATCCTTATATAGAATAGTGTTTCAAATTATTTTGTGGGAGATTCCATATCTGCAAATCTCCTAGAGATATATTATAGTAGGAGGCAGGTGGCATAACAATGAAGACTGACTAATGACACATAGAAAATATTTCTCCTAAATAATTGAAATAAGCAAAGCACTAAAATATTAAAAAAAGAAACATACTGTCATGTAGACTAGCTTAGATTTTTGAGGGGACTATAATTTTCAGATCTATTGCGATCTTCTTCTGATCCCTAGGTTACATACTCACTATGCTTTTCAATAAATTTAAAAAAAAAATCTCATTCAACTGATCCCGCGATAAGCCCACGTTATATCCACTGCAATTTATAATTATAAAACAGAAATAACTAATACCGATCGAAAAGAATCTTAACAACGCCATAAATAAAAACGCGTTCAGCGATCACTCGGAAACACTATGTCTATGTCTCTGTCCTCGTTCCCTCTCTGTCTTCACTAGGAATCTCTCAAACCGAAGTCGATCTTGGACGATTACCTAATTAATGGCACCGAGAGACCATAAAATTGTAATCAGATAACTTTTAATCGAAAGAGAGAATTATCTGAAAAAAAATTGATTCCTTCTCACGGTCAATCGGTCAGCCGGTTATTATAGAAGATTTCTCTGAATGTTGTAATATTAGCCAAACACGTCCATAAATTGTGCACGTGTTTCAAAACTACTCGTTATTTTTTTCCATCGGTAGGTATCTATCGCTTAGAACGCGAAGGTAACAATAATTTTTAATTGATAGGACGGACGATATTATGTTGCTTGATAGCTTGTAACACGTTTTATTGCAGATATCGGGAAAACATTATCTGTTCTTTTTTCCTATCGCATTGATAATAGTAAGGAAACTTAATGTACGAGCTACTATTCTTTGAGTTTGAAAAATTCTCGGTAGAGATCAATCTGTTGCATCAAAATCAGGTTTTGCTTAGTTGATAGTGAAAACCCGGGGTACATTACGTAAGAAAAGTTAAATTTCCAGCTCTCTATAAATAAAACTAATGTCTATATTGTTAAAATATTATAATTTTAAGGGAAATAATTAATTTCGAAATATACCCAAGTAGCATTTTTGGACACATTTTAGATAATGAGATCTATTTCTTGACACATAATGGAAACGGTATGCCACAAATAGGAAACATTTTCGAAACCTATATATTTTATATGGCTATATTACATGTGTTTCCAATGTGGTGGCACTAGTCGTTTCCCGAAATGTTTCGATGCGGAATCAAAACTTTTAGAAGAAATGTGCCGAAACATTTTCTGCAATTTGTTCCCTAGATGTTTCCCTTTTTGAACAGCCACTATTTCTAAACGTGAAGAAACAAAATAATAAAAAACTAAAATAGTCTGTCGGTGTGTGGATTTCAAAATGAAAATAAACATCAACAATGTCGACCTCCGCCATCATTTTTTTTTGTCTTATGATCTTGCTTTTCAGGTTTTCTCGCATAAAAAAGTCTGGCAAAAGCAAATTCATCATTTGATTTAATAATGCACTTTCAAATTTCTAATACCCCTTCTATATATATCATTATTTGTTGCTACAAAATATTTTTTTTTTGAAATATACATTTTTATTTTTGTTTCTATATCATGGTTCTGAAAATAAAAATATATAAATTAATATAAGTAGAACGCGTTCTTCAGCTCAACAACCGATAAAAACATATATTTTTATTTAAAAATGCTATCACTAGCTAACATTGCGGAATTTTAATTCGTTATTTTATAAAATTGACATGAAGTGGGACACCAATCATCTGCATTATATGATATTTGTGTCTAAAAAGAGAGAACGTCGTGTTTCGAAAATGAATCGACAATAAATGGAAACCTTTAAATCAAAATATTTCTATTTAGTTTCGCTGAAAAAACGCAGCGAAAGTAAAGAACACTGTCAGTGTAGAAATTTCAAACTAGTCACCATCAACAACTCCAATCAAAAGTTCTGGACGAAACAATTAAAACATTTTTATTTATTATATTATTTCAGTTTCTATTTCGTAGCTTGATGATGATATAGATGTGTGTTTATATTATTCAATTACGCCTCTTGAAACTGATTTAGTCAAAATTTATCAAGTAAAACACTGTGTGTAGACCAAAAGACCGACATTTTGCTCGAAATGAATACTGAATTAAGACATTTTTCTAGACGGTTTACGGTTTGAACTGACATGCAATAACATAACTAATTAAGTAATTAACATAATTATTTTTCCTTTAAATTGTTGGAATTCTTTTCAGATTTGGCATCACTGTACAGGAAATGCATCTATTATATCAGTTATATGAACTTGTATGTATTGTATATAATTTCAGGATGAAAAAAAACTACATTCGTATAATATAATAATTTTTATGTTTATTTTTACGTACATTTTATTAATAATAATTTTACAGTTATGTATATATAGATAATAAAAAACCGGTATAATATTTTACATTTTTTTAAATTAGATAACAACTGATAATAGTGATAATACATAATTAGATATATCAAAATACAAAAATATATTATTAGAAGTGACATATCAAATACAGTAACAAGTAAATAATTCTCCAATTTACCTATCTCAAAATTAATTATTATGTATTTTACTTAAATTTATAAATTAGTAACTAAGGTCATAGTGTTACATGAGCCATATTTAATGGTCATCGTTTTTTTGCTAAGAAATTCTACAATTTCCTTTGACTGTCGTTTTCGGGCTATATCTAATGCACTTTCACCACTACTGTTAACCGCTGTGACGTCACTACCTTTCTCTACCAATTCCACGACAATCTTCTCATAACCTTTACGGATAGCGAAGTGTAGAGGAGTGTCGTTCAACACTGTAACGTCATTGACATTGGCTCCGGCATCGAGTAAGGCTTTCACTATATCCAAATTACCTACTGCACAAGCCACATGCAAAGCAGACTCGTTGGTGTGCTTTTCCTTGATATTTGGATTTGCTTTCTGAGATATCAGACATCTAACTACGTCCAGCCTGTTATAATCCTGACATGCCAAAATCAATGCTGTTTGGCCGTTATGGTTTTTAACATTTATATCTATCCCATGAGCTATAAGAATATCAATAACGTCAGTACCAGCGTGTTCAGCAGCTATATGTATGATATTATCGCCTTTGGAAATAGCATCAACTCTAGAACCAGCTTTTAATAGTCTTTGGACTATTTCCTTATGCCCTTTTGAAACTGCGCTATGTAACGGTGTGTAATTATTATTGTTTGCACTGTTTGGATCCGCTCCATGATGTAATAGAGCATTTACTGCGTTTAAATTCCCATAAAATGCTGCAGCATGTAATGGAGCAAGCCCTTTATGATTCTTTAAGTTTACATTAGCACCATAATTTATTAGCATATTAATGACATCACCGTTACCAGTTTTCGCAGCGTGTACCAAAGTTCCCTGAATATTTAAGTGCTTTACCAAGGGTAATATATACTCTACTGCGTCTTTTCCACCCTCACAAGCATAGATCAACGGCGTATAATAAAATATATCTTCGCAATTGATATCAGCTCCTTTTTCAACAAGTTTTTTGATGATATCAACATTTCCGATCCTTGCTGCTAAATGTAGAGCAGTATATCCATACCAATCTTTTAAATTTACGTCTATATTTTCTGTTAAAATAATATTAACTATATCAAAAAAGCGTTTCTCCAGTGCAATATGCAACACAGTTCGATTTTGGATATTTTCAATGTTAACATCTGCTCCATGTCTCAACAAATCAAGCACTAAATTCTTAGCCCCTTTTTCAACCGCCAGATGTAAAGCTGTGTCCTTATTTCCATTTTGCAAATTAATATCTGTACCTGCAGAAACCATTCTTGTGATATCCCCTAAATCATTTTTTAGAACCATATTATGAATAGGAGTAAAAGTTTTCTCAAGTTTGAGTACACCTGCTTTAATGATCCAAATGTATAATAAGTCAACAAAAAAATCTTTTTTCTTCGAAACAGTATCATTTTTTTTAACAAATATCCATCTACTATATCTAAAATCTTCTTTACTCGATCTTTATCAATTTCTTCCTCTTCTGGTAAATCCATTATTAACAAATTAGGAGATGTCTTTATTATATTTTCTAAATTTTCATTATTCCATTTATAATAATCTTGATTATGTCGCCCTTGGTAGTTTCTCAGTGTTTCGGCCAAAATGTTTGCAACTGCATCTAGTTGAAGACCTTTGATAACACTAAATATTTCGTTTATGTTTAACCCGGAACTTGAACAGTCGATAAACAAGAATTTTTGGATATCGTTACACAAAAATTCAAGAACATGCTCTTTTAATTTGTCAGATTCCGTTTTTGAAGACATTCTTGTTAGTCATATATGAAAAAAATAGCACGAGATTGTAAAAAACGCATATGTGCAACTTTTAGGGACTAATAAAATAATAAAACAAAAATGAACTAGTTAAATCGAAAACATGACACAATGAGGTACTTATATAGGGTACTTCATAGATAAATATCTGTAAAGGGATACTTGGAAAGGTGCATTGTTGAAATAACAATTATTTTTTATTTGATTAAGTAACATAATTAATTCATATTAATCAACATTATAAAAAAACGAAATAGATGGAGATAATAATTATGATATACAGCGTGAATCTTTAATAAGTGCAAACATTTTCAGGGTTGGTAGATCTCGATATAAGAAACAAATTTCCTCTTTACCGTTTTTAAAATTAGTCCAAAATAACTGTGTTATTCTACTTTGAAAATTTGCAAAAAAAAATTTTTTGCTAAAATTTTCAGAATCACCGGATCTTTTCTGGATTGTCTTTCTGGTAAATTTAATGTACTACCTATGTTGCCATATTAGCAAGAAATTATGTTTTTTAATTAAATGCTAAAAAAATTGTCAAAAAATTTTTCAAAAAATTACAAACAAAATTAGCAAAAAGCTCATAATCGTGTTTCTGTGGTCGAAACATACTACCCCCAATTTACACTTATTTAAGACTCACCCTGTACACACACTATTTTAATTATGAAATACAGTTAGATCTACAGGGTGACCCAGTATTATAAGCCAAGATTAAGAAAACTATAAGCCAAAGGCAAATTGAAGAGAATAACCTTAACTAGGCATTGCAAACAAAGGACGACTTAAGTGAAACAGGGAATGACAATGTTGTGTTGAAAATGAAACTTAGTGATGCTGTAAAATCTTTATCACAAAGTATTTCTTAGGTCGAACACAACGATTTTACTCCTTTCTGCGCAAGATTTGTTGCTTTTGAAAGGAGTAAAAGAAAAGGTTGATGAGGCAGCAAAATTGATAAGTATGAAAATATAAATCAAAAATTAACTTTTTACAAAATTTTCAAATTAAATATCAATTTCACATTTTGTTACATTTTTTGGTAAGTATTTAGTGTGGATTAAGGTGCATCTTTACTTAATTATGGATATTGTAGGTAAGTAGTAAGTGAGTTATTTTATGGATGCATTTAGGTTCATTAATAAAGTTTTAATCTGTTTCATATAGTGTTTAGCCTTTTTGTTTAAATAAAACGTATGTTTAAATTTTATAATTAAATAAAAATATGTTTAAATTTTCAGTTTGGTTTAGAAACAATAAAGGTATACCCCGCTGGCAAGCGAAACCTTGGGTCGGCGTTTGCATGTATAGGATTGAATCGCTATGGCAATCTAGTAAGTCGGAGAGAGCAGAAATACGAAAATACTTAATCTGACGCTAGATTCCATGCGCTTGGGAAAATACTTGCTTTTTTTAGTATTCAGTACATCTTATTTTACTAAGCGTACTCAAAAAAATCGGCATCCAAGTTATTATACAAATATTGTTTCAGTAATCGGGATACTTTATAAATTATTAATTCCCATATATATACTAAGGTCGGCATTTCTGCCCTTTGGTGCCGATTTTCGTGTCTACGAAGAGTGCGGTCAACACGCTTAGTAAAATAAGATGCACTTAATAAAGACAGAAGAACAAGTATTTTCCCAAGCGCATGAAATCTAGAGTCGAATTAAGTGGTTATGTAAATAAATACTTCGAATTTTTGCTCTCTCCGACTTACTAGATTGTCATAGCGATTCACTATATGCGTGATGGTATAGCTCTTTCGACATGTGTCCGAATTGTCGAAATTCAACTCTATTTACTTATATCATTTATTTAAAGGATATATAGATTCAAGAACCACTTAAGAATTTCATTGATATATCAGATATAGTAGTTTTTATGCTTAATTTTTTGTGCGTTTTTTAAAACAATTACATATAGTTAAATAAATACAGATAACATCAAAATTAGATATTCCTTGTGATTGATATATGTATTTCTTTTAAATTATGACACAAGGACTGATATACATATTATATTAAAATGGGGAAAAAATATTAGAAATGACATTTCAAATTCAATAAATCATTCTCTAATTTACTATGTATACAGGGTGGGCCACTGAAAACTTACAATGGCCATAATTTTTAAACCAAAAAAGATATCAAAAAAATAAAAAATACCGTTTCTATAATATCGAGGGGGAATACATATGACGTATTTTTTGAACCACCCCGACCTACCCCTTAGGAGGCACCTCTACTCACTTGAAAATTTCAAATGGCAACACCCTACCTTGCTAAACGATGGTCATACAGACTTCAACTTAATTACTGGTTAGTGACAAGAAATGTAGGTGTGACAAAGTGACAGCCGTTTTGTTCCATACAAAAATACAAACGATTTTCAAATTCTTCTCTCACTTTTTGGAAAGTCTCTCTCGGAATATTTCGACATGCTTCAGTTCTCCTCTGCCGCAATTCTTGCAACGAACCTGGTTTTGTCTTGTAGACTATGGATTTTGTGTAACCCTACAAGGAAAAGTCTAAAAAGTGAGATCAGGTGACCTTGGCGGCCACTCGATTAGACCCCTTCTGCCAATCCGTTGCCTTGGATAATATTTATCCAACCACTGCCTTGTGCCAATAGAATAATGCGAAGGGGCTCCATCTTGCTGAAAGTGTACGAGGTCTTCATTAAGAGTTATAATAAATTTCTTTTTACCAGCATTTTTTGTCTCGCAATGGTTCATGGATACAAAAATAATTCATTCTATTGTTTTTGACAAGTTTTGACATTTTTTTTTATTTTTAGGCTCTATTTTTTTCGTTCTTTTTTATGACAGTCGTTTAGCATTTTTTATACGCTTTCCAAAGGGGTGTCACAAGTGGGGTATCGCTATCTTGAGGTTAGAAGTGAGGGGGTGGCACCTAGGGGTGGGTCGGGGTAGTTTGAAAAAAACCTCATTTAGCTGGGTCCCAATTTGTAACTTATGCTGAAAAAATCACTTTTTTCATTAATGTTTTTCAATTTCACCCTAAATTATCACCCTTATGATCATCGTTTAGCATTTTTCATGGGCTTTCCAAAAAAGCGCCACAAGTGGGGTGTTGCCATTTAAGATTTTCAAGTGAGTAGTGGTGCCGCTTTAGGTGTAGGTCGGGGTGATTCAAAAAATACGTTATATGTATTCCCCCTGGATATTATAGAAACGGCATTTTTTATTTTTTTTTATCTTTTTTGGTTTAAAAATTATAGCCATTGTAAGTTTTCAGTGGCTCACCCTGTATAACAAATTTTAAAAATATATTTCACGTTTAATATTTTATTTCTTATTATTATTATTTTATTAGTGGTTGTAAAACTGAAAAAAAATCGTATTCACAATTTTCGATAAATTGCTTCCTTTAATCAACACTGAACATATTTAGATGTACAGGATTTCTTATTAGTCACTGTATATTTTTTTGTTCTATTTTTATCCACATTCTAGGTAACCGCATAATTGCGCAATGAATATCTGACTGATTAGGTATTTTTATAATTTCTTTTTATGCGGCTTTTCCAGTCATACTACTGGTTAGGAAGACGTGTGGTTTTGATGGCATTTACCTAGTATTATATCACTCTGTATTACCGTGGTACGATAAAATATAGCTTCTGCTTGTTTACAAGACAGAGAATTTTTTTTCACAATAACTCTAATTTTAATATAGATATCTTTATGAAACTTAATACACGTATTCTATTTATCAAAATGCCTTTTTTGGTGTACAAAGAATTTTATTTATTTCAATCAGTGCCGTATCTATGGGTTTTACATTGAATAATTTTGGAGAAAAAAGTGGCAGACCAAAATAAAAATTATCTTCAAGATCTCTATTCATTTCTAAATATTTTTAACTCTTGATTTTTTCGTCCGATGCATAGTTTTTGCCTAAACAATTAAAATCAGTTTATTTCAGGGTCAAATCGCTGAAAATATTGTCAAGGATGGAATTATTCGATATATAAAATAACATATTTAATATTAATATATTTCGTAAATTAATAATTCGATTGAAAGGAAGTATAAAATAATTAAAGTTCATTGTGACACTACCCCCGAGCCAGTGATGATGTTCGTCCATAAATATAATATGTAAGTACACATTTAGTTTTATAATTATTTTATTATTCGTAGATTAATTAAATTGATTATTAAGTTAAATTGAAGTATTTATTATTTGCTATGCCCCTAGTCATAACCCACAAAATGGGGTGTGACAATATGATGCGGTAGAAATCATTTCTTCCTAACAATTTTTATTGTATCTTAAAATATGCATTTTGATGCATGCAAGACGTGTATCAAATATAACATTAGAGATAATTTGACCACAAAATTAGAATATTTTACCACCCCGTATCCGAAAAGTTAAATGTTTAGGATATATAATCATATGAAGTTTTCTTTCTTGGAATAGGTCCAAGAATCACCTCTTTAAATATTAGCATATCATTAAGGAACACCCTGTATAAATATTAGAAATGTAATAATTATTACAATTATAGTAATAAATCAATAACAATGATATTAAATTGCTAATTCGCTAAAAAAAATACAGTTTATGCAATACTTTTTAGGGTATTATTTAATCGTGACATACAGTGCAGCAAATAAAGTCGACATCATATTATCGTATTTTTTTATTAATTGATTTAGGGGAAAGTCAAAAACCTATAACGTACTCCTAAATCGTACCTTTTCAGTATAAATACAAGAATATCAATAAATACACCTTGTGGTATATTTAATAAGCCCAATAATACATCCAGTAATACGTAAGATCTTTTACAAGTGCTAACTACTTAGTTATGGTATGTAATATTATAACATACCATAACTACTTAGTTATGGTATGTAATTTTGTATAGCTTGAGGGCATGGTAATTGATTTTCTTTCAAACTAGAGAATATGTCTTTACATTCCACATTAACTTAATAATAATAAAAAATAGTTTATTGTTCAACAAAATAGAAATACAATACGTATTTGTGCTGCAAAAATAAATGTTGTTAAACAAAAGGCCTTTACGTGCA